CTTCACTTCCCAAGCTCCTCAAATCTGCATCCAGCCCACAGCTAGACAATCATGAACACACCTGCATGCTGGGTGATTTCCGGTGCTAACAACAATTTTGGACTTGAGTAACCTGCAGAGCACTACTCTAAACTCAGCCAACCATGCCAAGAGCTAAGAAAAATAAATCTCTACAGGCTTCTCAAACCACATCAAACAGATCTAGGAAAATGAAGACTGAACAGCATAGGATCACAACCATTAAGGTTGGAAAGACCGCTAAGATCATGTAGTCCAACCATCAAGCCACCCCACCATGCCCACTAAACACATCCCTCACTGCCACATCTCCACATTTCTTGAGCTCTTCCAGGGATGACAACTCCTCCCTGGGCAGCCTGTTCCAGTGCTTGACCACTCTTTATGAGAAGAAATTTTTCCTAATATTCAACCTGAAGTTGCACAACATGCATCCTTCCCTCTTTGCTACACAGATTATTTTCCTGTTTTGTTCTCAAGTCACATCCTTGTTACTGATGACACAGGAAAGATGCTGTTCTCCTAGAGGTTGTCCTAGAGTGTTGCAAACTTTCCTGTTTCCTGGTTCCTGTGCAATTCCTGTTGTGTTGACATGCCAATGTCATAAGAATTAATGAAGAGGGGCTGTTTGCATTGAGGTCTGTCCATAAGGAAGCAACTTTGGCAAAGGGTATCTTTTGTATATTTTATTATGCTTTGGCTAGGTAAGTAATAAAAAATAGGTGTCACATATATAAAGATGAGGTTCGTCTCATGTAACCTTAGAGGTGTAAATTAGAGCTTGTCATGCTATTTCCTTGTAGCCATCAGAGAGAAATAAGCATTTTCACAGTACAATTCCACCTGCCTGGTATGAGCTGGAGATATCCAAGGTCAGACTGGATGGGGCTCTAAGCACTCTGAGCTGTGGGTATCCACATTTACCATTGCAGGGGAGTTGGGCTAGATGACCTTTAAAGGTCCCTTCCAACTCAAAAGATTCTGTGATGCTATGAGCTGTGCTCAGAAAACATGCATTAATCTTTTATTGACTCTACAGGCAATGATGAAGACTACCTCTTCAGCCAGACAGTTTCTGTCCAGCAATCAACAGAGGTCTGGAAACAAATGTGGGAGTCTGTGCCATTTTGTCAGGGTGAGCTGTTGTGATGGTTATTGCAATTGTTTGCCTCTCTTAGCTTGGCGTTGAGGGCCAGTTTGTTGTGAATTAAGTATAGTTGAGGAATGTTCCTGGTGAGGATTGGGCCCTATCTAGTTTCTTCATCCACACATTGTGATGCAGCACTGAGCCTCCCTGAACTCTGTCTGAACTCTGTCTTCCCATTGGTCCTCAGGTTATATTCTGGGCTCAAATTTTAAGCAACAGCCAGTAGTGAGCAGATTTTGTGGATATGAAATGTAGTCACAAACTATGTTGTAGTCACAAACCAGGAATTGCAGGTGGAAAACATCAACAACTTATGTCACAGGCAGTCAAAATGAAGGAGTCTTACTCTGACCTCCTACCACAGGTACCTACCTTAAGTGAGCTCATGCTCTGTGTGTGCTGTAACTAAACCATCATGCCCCACAATGGAATAGCAGGCTGTTTGCTCATTCTCTGTTAAACATAGATCCTATCTTAAACTTGATAAGTGCACTGAATGAAGTTCTGAAACCAACCTCCTAATTGCATTTTAGCACTTAATGCCCACTGGTTTTATCAGCTTCCCGTAAGTTAAGTGTTAAATAGGAATCAATGGATGTGAGCATTGAGCAAGATTTATGAATGATCTGTTTATTTAAAAGTCTGGATTTTGAGTAATGGCAAGAAAGTCACAAAAATGTAATATGACAGAACACATAATTAAGATCAGAAACAAGATCTCACTTGGCAGCTTCAGCATCTCCAAGGACTTTTTTTCAGATCACTGCTCCCATCTCTTAACAGAAGATGATGCTGGCGCTGTGGCAGGATCTGCCACCCTCATACCACGCAGCATTATCACATCCTTTGTGCCTCGAGGCAGAGAGCAATGAGCAACGAGAGCTGACATCTTCAGAGGTGAAGTGAAGATCAGGACCACCGTGGACAGCTGGCTATTCTTGCTGTGCCACATCCATGGAGCATCCCAAGTCCAGCAGGAACAACCCAAGGCACAACCCCTGAGCAAGGGACTGCTGTTTCTAATTAGTAATGAACTGGAGCTTGATCTGACGTATTTCCACACACAACCAACAATCTAATTTCCATACGGAGTGAGCCAGCCACCAAACTGGAAATCTTGTTGACGCAACTGCTAATTATCCTCGGCATAATTAATAAGCAGTAACACAGTTTGTGTATGGCACAGAGGACAAACCTGGGGCGCCCAGGAGACGGAAGCACAGTTCTCATGGAGAGGTGATTTTGCAGGATTACCGGAGGAACCGAGTGGCTGCAGTGATTGTGGGGTATCATCATTCTCTCATAGGAGGAAATGAGCTGATGGAGCCTCATCTGTCCCCCAGGGGACTCTCAACACTGTATCTGGAAATGTGCCCTCCTCTTGGCTCTTTGAGGTATGTGGTGTCTATTTAGTTGTGTATTTATGGCCTTTGGGCTGTAGAAAGCCCTGAAGATACAAGATCAGGGAATTTTGGCCATCTATTGCATTGCTATAATTTTCCAGATGTGTTTGTCAGGATGGGGAAGGGTAGGAGCTAATGATAGCTATGCCTACCACAGGATCACAGAGATATTAGTTGGACACATTAGCTGGAGGTCTCTAATTCAACTTGTGCTTGAATACTGTCAGCTCTAGACTGGCTTAGCATGGTTTCATCCAGCTGAGCCTTGAGTCACCTCTGCATTTCATCATTAATCACTTCCCAACAACCTGTTCCAGTGCTGTAGTACCTTCCTAGAGGCAATTTTTTCTATCCTGCTGTTCAGCCTGCACCTCCCAGCAGCAGCCTGTGGCAGCTGCCCCTTGTTACAGTGTCTGGCTCTACCACAAGGAGTTCAACATCATTAACTTTGCAGCTGCCTTTTCAAGTAGCTATAGGCAGCTGCTGGGCTGCCTGTCAGCCTCCCCTTCCTCACTTGCTCCCTCTTCCACTTTTCACCTTCAAGCCTGAATCCCTCGGCCTCTCCTGAGAGATGTGCCCCAGGGCTCTTGGTGGCATGTCTCAGAGCAGCTTCAATCCAGCTGCATGGCAACAGGACTTGAGAGTCCACCTACATGTTAAAATCTGGGCTTTAAAATATAGTGTCTTCCAGAAGGACGACTCAAAGTTTTAATAAACAGACTGTATTAAGTATTTCACAGAATCACAGAATTGTAGGGGTTGGAAGGGACCTCCAGAGATCATCGAGTCCAACCCCCTGCCAAAGCAGGTTCCCTACAGCAGGTCACACAGGTAGGCATCCAGGCAGGTCTTGAACATCTCCAGAGAAGGAGACTCCACCACCTCCCTGGGCAGCCTGTTCCAGTGCTCCGTCACCTCACTGTACAGAAGTTCCTTCGCACATTTGTTTATTTAATTAAATATTGTATATTTAATTAAACTCTAGTAAGTAAAAGATCATTTCAGCCTCTTAAAAACACATCTGTATGAAACCACAGCATGATTTAGTTTCTATAAGGACAAACCTGTTCACGAAACCAGAGCACAGCTTTTCCCTGGATAAGCTCATGCCTTGCTGGAGGTGAGTGACCTGCTGCCCATGAAGGTGAACAAAGCCTGGAGTGGGGAACAGAACAGTCTCCTAGCTGGAAGGGAAGTGAGGGCATTTGCTCCCTGAAGCTTGATAAACTTGACAGCTGTTGAATTTTAATCACCTCAACAGGCTGTAGTGAAGGCTGTGATTAATTATTTTGGGCAGAGTGAAGCCGCTATGCTGGGAGACTGAATGAGGCAAGCCCTTTGAGGGAGAAACAATATGGAGAGATGGAAGAAAGGAGTTTCCTGAGGCCCAGAAGATGATAGATCCCAGATCAGTCTACTCTTCTCTTGTGCTGTTTCTTATGACCTGGGCCATGCAAGGAGACAGCAGGAGGAAGCAGGGCCCCAAGCCTGCTGACTCCAATGCGTTGTGGTCACTGGCAGGATTTCCCCATCCATTCATTGTTTGCCTTTCTTAATGCAGAACCATGAAATCAACAGGGGGACAGCCTTCCTCACCCTGAGTCATAGAGCTGAGTTTCTTGAACTTCAAGCAAACCAGTTTTTTTCCGTGGGGAATCCCATAGGTCTGACGTAGCTGAGATTGCTTCAGCAATCACTTCTTGTCTGCAAAAGGTATTAAGACATAGCTGTTCTCTGCTAGTTTTCATGTTAGGATAGATCTCTCACATGGAAATATTTTGAAGATTAGTATCTTTTACTGTTTTGTGTAATATTATTTTAACATTTCTACGTGCCATTAAATAGATAGGAGCATTCTTGTTTTCCTTCTACATCAATATTGCAGCATCACTTTTGAAGTCTGTGTTTTACCTCTGCTCCCAGGCAAAGAGCTTGTTTCCATCTTGTTTCCATCTCTTTATCCAGCAGCACCCAACTGGTGAGCATCTGTAGCTTGGGAATTTGGTGACTGCTTGCTTAGCTGTCCCCTGCAGAACCCGTGTTGCTGCTCAGGAATCAGAAAATGAAAACAACTGATCGATTTTTGGTCTCCAAAGCTGAAAAAAACTGAAAGAGTGAAAGTAACCACAGGCAAATCTGCCAGCTCTCTGCTAATGAGTATTTGTAGCAAAGTGATTGGTGACAGAGATGAGACCCCACTGCCACTGAGCTGTACCTGCTGTGCATGCACACGGACCATGGCACACAGTCTGGCTGAGTTCGTACACCTAAAGTTACTTCAAGTAATCCAAGTCTGGATAGCCATCAGGGTTGGTTGCAAGGTTTTCCTGCTAAACTGTAATACATTAAAAATACTGCTTGATCCTTACAGGGACATGTTTCTCTTCAAAATGCAGAAACAGCCCTAGAAAAATAGGTCAATAGTTTATTAAGTCAGTAGTTTATAAATATGGCACTTGTTCTGGTGCTGGATTAGGCAACCTCATATCTCTTGCATCCTCATCTCTCTGCCCACTTTTCTCCATAAACATGGCACTTCTTCCATGGCCCTGGACAAGAGTTGTGTTATTTGCATAAGCTATGCTCCTTAATGGAGGTTGCACTACAGAGCTGCTTTGAGAGACTTTTGGGATGCTGTTGAAGAGAAGCCCAACTGTCTCCTCTGGGCACCTCAAACCTTTGAGGACCCCACCTGAGACCCTCCTCTTTGCTGCTCTTTAAGGAGAACAGTCCAGAACAGCCTGTATCATGTATGTGAACCATGTTTTATAGAATCATAGAATCATTAAGGTTGGAAATGACCAAGATCCTCTAGTCCAGTCATCAATCCATCTCCCTTGCATTTTGTTTTCTTGTGCCCATTTGGCTTCTGCTGCTGTGATTTATTCCTTCCTTAAGATCTACACTGAGCTCTGTGGCTCTTCATTTGACTCTTTCATGGAGATAGAAAAGTGAAAAAAGACTTTGGTGGCATCTCTTCTTCAGCAGTGGAAATAGTACCCTCCTCTGACTCTGCTGATTCCAAATCCTCTCCTTCCTGCCCTGCAGCCACAAGAGGCATATCTCTCCTCATTAGGACTGCTACAGCAGCAGTCTAATATCTGCTAGAAAGGGAAAGGAGGTAAATGTCAGGAGAAAATTCTAATGGAGATGACAGGGTTGGACTTGAACACTCCTTCCTGTTTTCTACTACGATGTGGGATTATTGGAAGTATGTAATCTACAAACATCTCAACTCCCATGTGACTCAGAGAAGACTGGAGGATTCAGTAAGATTCTTCAATCTCTGAGCTCTAGCACTGAAGAAAGGAAGGTTTGTCTTGCAGGGCAGACCACATAGGAGCTGGCTTGCAGTAGAGGGATGTTCAACATTACTCACAGCTCCGCTCCATACAGAAAATGCACAGCTCCTTCATTGTGCAGCCTTTGCTTACAGTGACTTGAAAGACAGAATGGTGCCAGCAATGAAGCAGGAGAGCACAATTTTTATAAACATCAATAAAATGAAAAAGCATGACCTAACAGTCTTCGGGAGTTGAGCATGGGGTTCGTGGCTTGTTCTCAAGGACTCAAAAGTCCTTGACTGTTGCCTATATTTTAGGCACAGGACATTTTATTTCTTTATGTATATATTCTGCAGGGTTTTTTTCAGATTAATTAAAACTATGGGCAAGGCCACACTTCCATCCTATGGAAGGGTCCAGTTTCATTCCCACAGATCACTCATTCATGGCTAAGCTGGACTCGCTTTCCTTCTCTGACAAGTGTAGACTGCCCACATAAGAATTTTACATTGGTCTGCCCTTAAAGCTGATCTTTATTAGCTTTTGTTGATTCCAACTACGTGGGAAAACTTTTTGTCATGCAAGACTTGCTGCTAATTGCTCTGGTGGGATTTCACCATCAGGATTTTGATAACTTCAGCTGTGTTTGCACAGCATTTTTGATATCACACCTGGGTCCTGGTTGCAGTACTCAGTACCTAGCTGATATCTGCTTTGCTTACTTCCTGTTTAGCTGTGGATATTATAAGTCCTTTTTGAAGAAAAACCGAACCAAACAGAGAAAAAAGAATCAACACAGTTTAGTTCTTTGTTTCTCTGTATGCAGTGACCTCTTGTGAGCAGCAAAACACTGATAACAGCCTCTCACTTCACCATGTTAAAAGCAGAAGCCCAGTGAGTACTGCTGGGACACCAAGCTCAGCATCTTGCTATTCTTATTCAGAAATGTCCATTAAATGCTGTTCTCAACTTGAGTCCCAGAATCTCTTTGCTCCAATATCTCAAGGCTGCACGCTGCTCTTGATGCCCTACCTGAGGCTGACCAAATGGACCCAGAGGTTCTTTACAGCCTCAGCCATTCTGTGATCCTGTAAAGATGCACTTCCAGGAGCTTTAACACAGCATTAGACTCCCTGACTTCTGTCTAGTATGTTTCTGGTCCAGGTCTCAAACTCTGACACATCATAGTTACAACAGGTGGTTATTGGTTATCATCATCGTTAACAATTTTTAATGCCATTTTCAACTCACTTGTGATGTGGGAAAACAGCAGCTCTCCTACAGCTTTCCTTCAGGAGACCATAGGAGTGAACTCTTTTCATTCTCTTGGAAATCACATGAGAGTGTTCTCTCCAAACCCTTTATCCACTACTAATGGAAGAAACCCTGTCTCCACCAAGCCTCCTGTATGCACACTGGGATGCTGTTTGGATATGGGCTCATCAGTGGTTTGTAAAGCAGCAGACAGAGAGGTTTGCAACCCTCTGTGTGCTCATTCCCTGGAAGGGGCAATCTGGATACCAATCTGGATTTCATGAGTGTGGGCTTTGGAGTTGATAAGCACCACATAGAAAAAGAAAGTGCCCATAGTTCATGTATTGGTGCAGGCATAGGAGAGGACCTGTCCAGTGAGATACAATTTGAAAATGGTCCCCCTATATCTAGAAAATAGAAATAAATAAAATACATATAAAATGTAATTAACATGCTATAAAACCATTACAGTTATGTGAAGGAAAATGCGTACTCAGACTCCATCAACTGTATTTTGAGAGGCTGTAGAAGAGCAGCCCATGAACATCTGTGTGTACTCAGAGACAGGATGTACTGCCTAATGCCACCGAGGCTGTCTGCTGGGAATAGAAACTCCGTGCACCCCATGGGAAATGAGGAAGTAGAAAGAGAAATCAGCAGGCTCAGCTATCTAATGCCGATCTGTTTCTGACACGTGGTGCTCTCTAGTAAACCTGGGAGAAATTCTGAGGAAACAGCAAATAGCAATTGTTGCCCCCCGTTTCTAGGAAGATGTGAGCAAATATCCCCAGGATAACAACAACATAAATCTCTCTTCTTTGTGTAATTTTTTGTTTGTTATTAAAAGGTGCAGATTTATATTGGTGCAGGTGTGTATTGCAGCAGGGCTGTGAACATATGTCCATTTCTCAAGGGGGAAAAAGGAACTGACAGTTCAGCTGCTGCTTCTGAGACACAGCTTCAAGGTAAGTCCTTGCTCCTTTCTCCATTGACTCCCATATTTGATGGGTTAATGGTTGGACTAGATGATCTTAGTGGTCTTTCCAACCTTAATGATTCTATGATTTCAAAGCATTTCCTTGATCTTTGGAATAAATACAGGAGGCAAAAGGTATGCTGCAATTACTGAGATCTAACCATCCCCGTAGGAGAAAACTAGATTTTATGTGTGCACATACTTTTCAGAGCTTTAGCATTTTGTATTACAGGGTAAGGGGAGAAGGAATGACTTGGAAAAGAAGTGTAAGCATATAGAAGTAAAAATCTGGAGAATGTGGGAGAGGTACTTAGAGGCAGCAGAGACTGGAGGAAGCTGGGAACTTGTCACCATATGAACAATTCTTTGAAAAAATCACAAAATCAGGTGGAGTCCAGGAAAAAAAAAATCACTTCTAGTGATGTTTGGACAAAAACCCCAAAGAAGGAACATCGTTCCCAATGGAGATAAGCCAGCCCTCTGAGCCAGCACTCACAGAATCATAGAATAGAATTGTAGAATCGTTTGAGTTGGAAGGGACCCCCTGATGGTTGTTTGGTCCAACTCCCCTGCAATGAATAAGGACACATACAGCTACATCAGGTTGCTCAGAGCCTCATCCATCCTGACCTTGAGCATCTCCAAGGAGACTCCAATCCCCTGGATCCTGTTAGAGATGCAGCACTGCATTCGCGCTGTGTCACCTGTCTAGAAAAGGCACCAAAGCCTGGCAGGATACTTTTAAGTGGTGTTGCTGCTCACTTGCTGACCTGGAAAAATGTTGGACCTGATCTGAGATACTTTGGGGAAACTGCTTGCGAGAAGAAGCCTTGGGCACTGATGCACAAAATGACTAAAGGTGAACTGAGATGTTGAACTGTAGGAAAACACGTTCCATTTGCCTTTTTAATTATTCAACTTGATGATGACCACCATCATATTATCATCATCACTGTATCATTTATTATTGTTATTAATTTCACAGAATCACAGAATCACCCGGGTTGGAAGGGACCTCAAGGATCATGTTGTTCCAACCCCCCTGCCTAGCAGGGCCACCAAACACACACATTCAGATCAGGTTGCCCAGGACCCCGTCCAACCTGGCCTTGAACACGTCCAAGGACGGGGCATCCACAACCTCCCTGGGCAGCAGTTCCAGGGCCTAACCACTCTCCTTGTATAGAACTTCCCCCTAACATCCAACCTAAATCTTCCCTCCCTCAACTTGGATCCATTTCCCCTAGTCCTGCTGTTGTCAGCCCTTTTGAAGAGTTTACTCCCCTCCTGGGTGTAGGTTCCCTTCAGGTATTGATAGGCTGCAATGAGGTCACCCCGCAGCCTTCTCTTCTCCAGGCTGAACAAGCCCAACTCCCTCAGCCTGTCCTCATAGGGGAGGTGCTCCAGCCCCCTGATCATCTTAGTCGCCCTCCTCTGGACCCTTTCCAAAATCTCTCTGTCTTTCTTGTACTGAGGGCTCCACACCTGGACACAGTACTCCAGATGGGGCCTCACAAGAGCCGAGTAGAGAGGGACGATCACCTCCCTGTCCCTGCTGACCACCCCTCTCCTGATGGAGCCCAGGATCCCATTTGCCTTTTGAGCTGATTTTGAATTTGTTCCCAAACAGGGGGTTGTCACCTGCTTCTTATGAATTGTCACAAGCTCTAGGGGTATTTTGTGCTCTGGAATAGAAGCAGCACAAACTGGGTTGAACAATGCGCATCCCTTCAGCCAAGCCACTCATATCCATATCTCAGTGATGCTGGACCAAGGTTGTATGAGATGCACTGAAGGTTTTGTGTGGCTGGAGCAGACAGGTACTCCTTGATGCCTTATCTGGCAACATCATTGATCTTTGCATCACTGCCGGCCAACCACAGTCTGTACCAAGCAGCTGGGAGTAGACTTGGAGTTTGTACCCTATTTTGTATGCAACTTCAGGATAAGGTATATTTAAGATATTGTTTTGTCCCATGAATAGAATTTGGCTTACAGCCATAGCAGAGACTCGGTTCAAGGTTAATCAGAAATGCCATAAACCACCTTGCATAATGAACCTGTGAGTTTCAGCTGGCAAATCACCTGGAAAATTCACACCAAACTCTTGAATAAAGGAGGGAGCTTTCTCTACCCATGACCTTGCAAAGCACCTCTGGAAAAACCCATTTTCAACACAGATCCTGGCTCCACCCCTTGACGATCCAGCTTGAACTCCTGGTTGAGAAATCCAATAAAAACGTATTATGGCCAACTTTCCCTGCCTGGAGACTATATATAAATCACCCACAGTCACAACTTCAGATTGTAGCAGGGGCATTTGAAAATCCTCTACAGTTTTGGGGCTGCAAGCAGCATCACGTGAATAAACCTATTTGTGTGCTTCTCTTTCACACGGTAGGTTGGTTTTTGCATATCTGAAATGAAATTATGTGTATGTAGTAAGTTTGTGGAGGGGGTGGTGCAAAAAAAGGAACTTTTCTGCTTGAGGAGGTTCAGCCCTCCAGGGCATGACAGAACCACCTCTTGTGGTTTTCTCTCCTCAGTTTTCAGCTTGCTTCTCATCCTGTTCCTGATCCAACTCTAGTAAAGAGATAAAGGGCCTGATAAAGGGCCTGTGGGGTAACTGCCCACAGCAGTGGGAGTGGAACTGGATGATTTTTAAGGACCCTTCCAACCTAAGCTATTCTGTGATTCTCTGATTCTATGGTTTTATGTCTTGTGTCATATAAAGGATATCTCTGTCTCAGTATTCCAAATGCAGTGGGAATCAATACATGAGGGTCAGAGAAAAGAATACAAAAGGGCAGTGTGCAAGGAGATTTTCCAAGCCAAGAGCAGTCCTCAGCTCAGACACCTCCCCAGACAAATGTGGGGTTTGTGTTTTAGAGGCCATAATGCCTTCCTCTCCTGTGAATCCCTCCAGCTGCTTTTCCTACCAGCCTGATTTCATATGCTAATTATTTGAAAATCACTCATTTGAACATCTAGCAATGAAAATGGAAATATCACTGCCATCCCAAAGCCTGCAGTGCAGCTGAAAGAAGATAAAGCATCCTGCACCACAATGAAATTAGGAACAGTTTTCTCCAACAGAAAGATCTTGCTGACTGCTGACAATCATGTCAACACCTGAGAAAGATGAAATAAATCTATTTCTGGACCAGAAAAAGAAAATATCGTGTCCGCTCTTTTCACTGTACAGGAAAAAGAACATGCACAGCTGAAAACATGAATCTGTAGAAATTCTGTACAATCATAGGAAGAGCTGTAGCATTATATATCAGTATACATCAGCACATCAATATTTTTCTCCAGAAGAGTGGTTGGGTATTGGCACAGTCTGCCCAGGGAGGTGGTGGAGTCAGCGTGCCTGGAGGTGTCCAAGAAATGTGGAGATGTGGTACTTAGGGCCGTGGTTCAGTGGGCAATACTGGTGGTAGGTGATTGGTAAGACTAGATGATCTTAGAGGTCTTTTCCAATCTTAATGATTATATGATTCCATGACTACCTGTACTGCTATAGCAGCTAAATAGAGGAATCACCCCTTGTGCTTGCTGCTGCCATCTGCTCAATCCCTTCTCTTCGTCCATGTGTCTCTGTAAGTTTGTGATTTTGGGTTGGACACCCTAAAAATGCAAGAAGAGCACACGTTGCCCAGTGACAGCTGTCTGAGTGCCAGAACTCCAAGATGGACCATTTGGGATCATGTGTCTGATTTAAATTCTGCTGTGAGCACAGATAAGTTAGAGAAAAGTGCATTTCTGTGTGATCTTCAATGAGGCAAGGAACATGTGGTGAGCTTAGCACCACTGCGATTTTCCCTCTAAATTCCTCACAAGACTAATGCTGAACTCAGCATCCAAGCTGTTGGAACAGAATGTGAATGCAGCTGAGGGCAGTTGGAGCACTGAGGGCCATGGTTAGTGGGCATAGTGGGGATGGGTTGATGGTTGGACTGGATGAGCTTAGTGGTCATTTCCAACCTTAATGATTCTGTGATTTTATGATTCCAAAACCCATTTTAGAGTTCAACCTTATTCTGCTGTTGTTTTTTCAGTATCCAGTAAGAGATGAATTATTCTTCCTTGATCTTTCAAAGTCTCCTTCTCTACCAGCCGTGCCCAAGAACAAAAATGAGTCTAGATTTGATGAGCTTTCTCTGAGTTTGTTGTCTGTCTGCATTTGCTCTCCAGGTGAGCAAGAGCTCATCCCTCAAAGTCCTCCCTGCGATGCTGCTGCTGCTGCTGCTGCAGATCTCACTGAGCTGCCTCTGGCTGGGACGTGGTGAGGTGGTGACATCCTTTGAAAGTTCATGCCCTCAGTTTTTCTTCCGGGAAACCCCCCCAAATGAAGCCCTGGAACCAGAGAGCCCAGCCTGGATCTGCCAGCGTTACAAGAATCAGTATTATTTTGCCACCTTGTATGACAGGAGCAGGCGTATTCCCGTGTATTCTGCTTACCTGTACCAACCTGGATCTGGCACAAGACCCAAAACCTGGCTGGTGGAACCCCAGGTGAGCATTCTCCTCATCTCCTCTGGGACTTCTGTGGGCTCCATGGCTCTTCTCTTCATTCTCTTCCATTCTATCCACCTGTAAGGACTCCCTAAGTGGCCTCAGCTTGAAAGAGAATGCCTGTGCTCTTGTTTTCCCCAAGCCTGTAAAACAATAGAGTGTTGACAGATTAAACTAAAAGAGGCATGAAAAACATAGAGAGAGCTGTTTGTGGAAGTGGGTCTGAATGGAGCAATGAGCAGGACTGGTGACAGTGTGATGAGATGTAGGTGATGATGAAGGTTGGATGTGATTAACAGGGGCAGCAGGAACTGAGGAGAGCCTTGGACAGGTGTGGGATGTGGAGATGAAAGGAAAGGGAACCAGATGTGTCACACTTGTGTCTCTCCAAAGTCACCTCTCAAACCTGAGAGAATGGAAAATTTGTCCATAGCTCATGTATCCATCCACATTCCTGCTGCAGACTGGGTCTCAAAGGTCACAAGACAAATGAAGTGGTGTCATATTTTGAGCTTTGTTTTATTTTAATCTCTTGTCAAGGAGGGACAGCTTTATGATTTCTCTGTGGTAAGTATGTTTGCATTGCATTGAAATGGCAGAAAATGAGTGCTCGGCACTCAAAGACTTTTGCTCCAGAAAACCTGCTCCACTATTCCCATCCCCAGTGCTAACACCTTTTCTTCTTTACCTGTCAAGCTGATGGGCCTGAGTTATCCCAAAACAATGGAAAGAGAATGGACACTCTCAAAATATTACAACGTCACTTCAGAGCAGATTGGCAAGAGCCAAGCTATCCTCCAGGATTACAAGAACCTGACGGGTTTGAACCGTGGCCATTTGAACCCCAGTGGACATCACTCTGACTCCAGCAGCAGGACGGCAACCTTCAGCCTCACCAACATCGTGGCCCAGGATGAGAAACTCAACGGTGGTGCCTGGAACAACTATGAGCAGCAAACCATGATGAGGAGGACAGTGGGGTGTAACACAACCTACGTCGTGGTGGGTGCTGTGCCTGGGAACAACTATATTGCCAAGGGCAGAGTGAATAAGCCCAGCCACATCTGGTCGAGCGCTTGCTGTGAGGTGGACAAAAACCACAGGGAGGCTTGGGGGGTCATTGCTGAGAATGACAAGAATGAGGTACAGCTCCTCACACTGGGGGAGCTGGAGGAGGTGTTGACCCACCTTTATGGCAGGGATCAGGTTTATCTGTTTGATAGTGACTGTCCCAGGGAATAAGCTCCGTTTCACATCATAGGTATCCTATTATACCCACCAGCATTTGTCCTACTTCCTTCTCTAGGGGTTTTCCAGTTGCACTCCGAACCTCTTCTTTGAAAATAAAAGGGAGAGGCCAGTAGAGCCTCTGGCTCATTTGCTTTCCTACTCTGCTTCCCACCCTTGCAATGATGGTTCTGGGATGAGTCCCTGAAAGCTCTGGAGGGACAGTCTGGATACCAGTCCGTGGGTAAGGAATCAGTTTGTCCTTAAGACTAGAGACATACTGCTTTTTGTTCCTCCCTGTTTCTCCATGCCCACATACAGACTGTGGTTCCTTACCCTCTTTCATTCAACATTGCTGTTAACATGCTGTTGATTTATCCATTGCCTCCTCAGGAAAGTTCCCAGGCAAGGTTGGCTCAGATAATCCATGGATTATCCAGATTCCTCCTTGGAGATACTCAAAATCCATCTGGACCTTGTAATGGACAACCTGCTCTGGCTGACTCGCCTGACACAGCCAATGGCAAAGGCAAAGAGCAGACAGAGAGGGGAAAGTGGAAAGGAGGAAGGCTAGTAAGCATGGGAAGAACATCACAGCTCTGTTGAGCTCTGTAAATAAGTAAAATAAGGAAGGAGATAACCTGCATCTAATCTCTAAGCTCCCTAACCATGAGTTTACATGAAGGCCATGCTTATGTAAATTTACTAGAACATTTTTGTTTGCTTGGTTTTGGATCATGTACCTTGAGAGCAAGAGCTGAGGTATCAAGCAGCTGGGCTTAGGGATCAGATACACAGCAGACTTTGACCAACTAAAGATAAATTTCTGTAATGCAGTGGGATAACTTTATTCTCTGCCCTACTTTTGAACCTTTTCTGCAGATTTATATATGATTGATTTTTTTTTTCCATTGTAAAATGTATTCAGTGGGTATAAAAGTTCAATATATGCTGTATAATTTTGTTCCTGAGTTGTTTATGATATAAATTATTTGCTCCAATGTTAAATCCTAGAATTGCTTTCCACTGAAATTTCCACTTCTAGTAATGCCTTAGTTTGTAAGGCTTCTTTGGCAGAGATAGGCTGTCCAAACCCAATCTGAAAATACCATGACACCCATCATCACACTATCACCACTTCACAGAAACACAGAATCACAGAATGGCCAGGGTTGGGAGGGACCTCAAGGATCAGGAATCTCCAACCGCCCTGCCTCACGCAGGGCGACCAACCTCCATGTTTAATACCAGACCAGGCTGCCCAGGGCCCCATCCAACCTGGCCTTGAACACCTCCAGGGATGGACGGGGCATCCACAACCTCTCTGGGCAGCCTGTTCCAGCACCTCTCCACTTTCATAGTAAAGAATTTCCCCCTGACATCCAACCTAAATCTTCCCTCCCTCAACTTCAAACCATTTCCCCTTGTCCTGCAGTTATCTACCCTTTCCAAGAGATGGTTCCCCTCCTGTTTGTAGGCTCCCTTTAGGTACAATGAGGTCACCCTGCAGCCTTCTTTTCTCTGGGCTGAACAAGCCCCGCTCCCTCAGCCTGTCTTTGTAGGGGAGGTGCTCCAGTCCCCTGATCGTCATGGTGGCTCTGCTCTGGCCCTCTCCACCACCTGTCCTTCCTGTACTGGGGGCTCCAGACCTGCTCGCAGTACTCCAGATGGGGCCTCACAAGAGCAGAGGGGGACAGTCACCTCCCTGTCCCTGCTGGTCACCCCTCTGCTGATGGAGCCCAGGATACCATTTGCTTTCCAACTGCAAGAGCACACTGCTGGCTCATGTTCAGTTTTTCATCCCTCAGGACCCCCAGGTCCTTCTCTGCAGGGCTGCTCTCAGGGACTGCTCCTTCCAGTCTGTATAGATACCTGGGGTTCCTCTGGCCCAAGTGCAAAGCCTTGCACTTTGCTATGTTAAACCTCATTAGGTTCACCCGAGCCCACTATTCAACCTTTTGAGGTCCTTCTGAATGGCATCCTTCCCTTCCACCGTGTCAGCTGCTACACTCAGCTTGGTTACTTCTTCTATAAACTGTCCTCTACCAAGAAGATCATGGTGCAAACTGCACATACAATCTGTCTCACTTACTAAGATAGCAGCTTGACCCTGAATTTCTCAGCTCCTGAGCAGCTCAGCTCCAGTGCTATTGGACTGTTGTGACTCCAGAGCTGACCCTGTGTCCGTAGTCTTCTGGCATCTCTGCCACATGCTCCATTGCTCACTGCAGAAATGTTCCATTAGCTGTGTCACCTTCCCTTTCACATGGTTCATTAACCTGCCAGATCTCATCACTCACCCAGGACACACTTCTTTGAAGGCTGCATAGAAGCAATGGGGGCAGGACCTTGAGGCTATCTCCAGTGGTACCTGGGCACCTGAGCACAGGCGGCAAGGTCCCACGCAAGTGGCATCATGGACATCTGCTCCTGTCATCTCCAGTGCCATTCTGGGAGCAACAGTAGCACCAATATTTGCTCAGTGAGGTAGGAGAACATTTCTAGAGGACAAAATTAGGGGCACCAGTCATATTCCCCTTTCTTTATAGATCCATATGGACTCAGGTCTCCTGCCCTAACATTTCAAACTGTCAGGAGTTGTTTCAGGTTCCTGAATACATGGAGCACTGGACTGGGACTGAGACTGCTTTACGAAGTTTCCAATCCATGAAATGAAAACAGATTTATTTTCATTTTACTGTGCACTGTGTCCTAGAGCTGAAACAGATAGTACAACAACTTTCAGTTTTACTGTTTTCCTCATCTGCCGCACTAGGACAGATATTTTTTTAAGGACTGGGGGAGTTTCAACAGTACAAAAACAATATAAAAAAAAAGAGAGAGAGAAACCTTTGGTTTTGAGCAAAGAGAGCTGGAAAACAGGGCTACCCGTGCACAGGAAATTTTGTCATTTCAAAATGTGGTTTCAATCTGAATCACAACAAAACCCCAGAAGTTTCCAAATTCCCCTTTAAATGGAAATTCTGAAAGTTTGAGCCTGGAAATGCTGAAGCAGGGTGTTTCTGATACCTCCTCCTGCCCTAGACGTGCTAAAAGAAAGTGACTTTCTCAGCAGCTTGCGGCAGCACCACGACCTGCTTCCCTGAGGATGTGGAAGGCTTTCTGGGGACATCTACAGTGACATTATTCAGGAGCATCTCCAAGGGTCACCAAGCTCTGAGCATTATTCTGGCAGCGCTCATCCCAGATGGACTTTTTGGGCACTGCACAGCTGGTTTGCAACTCAAGTATGCAGCCAAGCGATTGAAGGAGTGGTGTCAGGAAGGTGAGGGAAGATGTAGGCTGTTGGCGAGATAGAAGATTCAATTTCAGGTCTTGCAAATGGGTGAAACCATTTATGCAGAAATGTTCGTAGAGCTCTGTGTACTGGTACCACTCTGCCCTGCAGACAAAGACTTCACCCTTCTCCCATATGGACCTATCCATAGTTGAGGCAAAATCATTGGAGCTTCTCCAGAATAATATTTAGCATGGATAAAAATGCTGCAGCTTTAAAAGTAAAATCTATCTGGGAAATATCTTCCCTGAATTTCTTCTACATAAAAACCAATGGAGAAAATAGGGAATTAGTGACCTGGAAATGACTGATGGAGTCCTGAGTTCTTTGCTCATATGATTTCATAGTCCCTAGACAAGCATACATTGGCCCTGCCAAACATTTATTCCTATAGAAGTAAAAATGAATGTAAAAAGAGTGGGTAACTGAAATGTTAAGAATGTGACTGAGAGGCGGACCTGTACTATTCACTGCCTTCCTGCACTCAGATTACATCTTTTAAATTGTCTGAGATATGGACCATTTTTGGCTGCTGAATGGTACCTGTGCATGACGTCCCCACCTCTTGTTTTTTCATTTGTCACTGCAGCCAAAAGAATCGTGCTTGAATTTGAACTTGAGAAATTATTTTGTCTTTGGGTGGTAGCAGATGCTTTCAGCAGTGCCTTTAGAGAGGTGAATGACATATTCTGAAAGTCTCAGTTACTTCTGGGGCTGGGTCTCAGCTCACTGCTTGGGCATCTTTAAGTAGGCATCCACATGTGGGGGTAATTCTGCAGGATGGGCTGAGTTGTGCTGCTTGGCTTCCAGCTGTCAGTGCAGAACCTCTGATAGATCCTGTGCTGTGGCATCTATTCCTGTGATGCCTCTAACAACACTGAGTGTATCAGACCCTGGCATATTTTTCTGTTTAGGGAACCAGATCAAACTGTAGGTGTTTCCACTGAGCTCCTGTCTGAGCACCCCATAGAGTCGATGAGGATCTTTTTGATGCTGTCTGGAAAACCATTCAGCCTGGTTGGATTTCTGCATTTAATAGCTGAATCTCTCTGGACTCCCCTTTTCTCCACTGTGATGGGACAAACTCAGACTGAGACACAGAGTCATGCAATCATTATGGTTGGAAAAGACCACTAAGATCGTCTAGTAAAATCATAATCTACATGAAGGCACATGCAATGGCAGTGTGCAAGATTACTTTTTGCTACAGACTTCAGGAAAACCAAGTTTTCTGACACCTGAGTATATATACGAAACAGAAGTATATGTTTTTTCACTCCTGTGTGAGGGTTGGGGAGCTTCACTGCCTCTAGGCTATACAAATCTACTCACTGTTCACCTTATGTGTGTTGTCAGAGATCCTCCTGTGCAGAACTTTTTAGTTTCCTGCTGCATTTTAAAGGTTAGGTGTAGCAGTCCACCCATGATGTGAGCTTTAGACAGACCTCTGGAATAAACCTTCTTTATATCATGTTCCCGATTTCTTCATACTTTTCATTCAAAGTAATACAGAGAGACAAGACAAAACAAGAGAGCAACCATGGCCAAATAACCAGGAGATCTTGATGCTGCAGCCTCTGGCAAAGTTAGCAATATCCTTCCTTCCCTTCCTTTATGACACTACATTATTCCTCCTTCTCATTATGTGCTCTACAGCTGCCAGCAGAGTAATGGAAAACAAATCTTAGATTTTTCAAAGTTCAGCTCACACGGAATTACAAAATCAGAGAATCGTGGTGGTTGGTAGACATAACAAGAAGGACTAGCTGCATTCAAACACCCGGAATAATTTATTGTTACAGTTTGTTGATCATTCCATGCTGAGAAAATCAAGTTTACCAAATAAAAGTATCAAACACCACACCTCATGTGAAATAAATGGAGAAAGCATTGGAGAAAGGCTATGGAGAAAGCAGGACAGTGACGGTTTGGCCACAGCCTCCTTCAATGGTGGATTTTGCTTCCAGGCTGCACCCTATTGATTTCCTCTGTGTGTCGCACTGAAGGATCGAGCCTCCAATACAAACATTTCCCCAGAGGGCCAACAAGCTCCACCAGGAGGTGAAGGACAGCTCGTCTGAGACTTATAGCTTTCTGATGAAGGACACATACAGCTCCCATGCTGGACATCACCTGAGTTCTGACCCTTTGTAGACATTAATAGCTAAGAAAATTGAATCCTGTAATATTTCTCCAGTATGTATGGCTTATAGGTACCATGTCAGCAGTATATCTCCCTTGATTGCCAAGAAACAAAGACAAAATATGGAGAGAGAGCCCATGAAGCAACCTGGCTAGAGAAAGTAGAATAAGTCATCAGAGCAATGGGAGACATGACTCATTTTCTGTGTAACGGGCTAAAAATGTACGTGCTGGAAGCAGGTAAAATATTAGCTTTCTGCAGTAAACTGCCATGAGTGGGACAAGTCATGCCAACCTAATTGCAGTGCTTAACATAGTTATGTTAACAGTAACTAATGTGCATTAAACAAAGGAAACAGGAGAGCTCAGTATCACTGCTTGCACACTTCAGAGCAGCTGGCAGGTTTGAAAAGATATTATCTGTTGCATAAATACAGATTGCTGTTTGCTCCCATACAATATACCAGTGTGTAATAGACAGTCATGTATTTATAAAGATACATATTACAAAT